CGGCCTTGCCGCGCCTCGCCTCCCAGGCGGCGGAGGAAGAGGAGGAGGAGGAAGAGGAGGAGGAGGAGGAGGAGGAGGACGAGGAAGAGGAGGACGAGCAGGGAGGGAGGTGGGAGTAGGGAGGAGGGAGGAGGGGGAGGGGGGAGAGAGGGGAGGGAGGTGGGAGTAGGGAGGAGGAAGGAGGGGGGGGGGGGAGAGAGGGGGAGGGAGGAGGGAGGAGAGAGGAGGAGGAGGGAGGAGGGGGGAGGGGGAGGGGCGAGGGGGGGGAGGGAGGAGGGAGGGGAGGGGGGAGGGGGAGGGAGGAGGTTCCTGGCCCCTCCCAGGATAGCACGTCTGAGGTGCCACCCACCCACGCACATCGCAAGTCCGGGCGCTGCACGAGACTGGGTGCCGTTCCGTTCCGTTCGGGTCGGGGGGTTGGGGGCTCAGCACTGGTGTTGGGGGTTCGGTGGTTATTTGGGGGAGTTCCCAGTGCTCGGTGCGATCAGGTGGTGGTTCGGAACGGCGAGTGGTTGACGCCTTTGGTTCCAGAGTTGGCGTTTGGATTTCCGGATTCTCGGGAGCGGCCTCGGGGGTGTTCGCTTGACGGGCCGGGCTTTGTTCGCCTGACGGGCCGGGCTGTTCCGCTGAGCCGTTTGTGGGACGAACTTCCAGCGTTCGCCCGACGGGCCAGGCTGTTCCGATTGCGGGCGTCTCCCGTTTGAAACGAAGGCGTTTCGTTTTGAGGCAGCGCTCCCTCTTTGGTGTCCAAGCATCAGGCGTGAGGACCTACATGGCGACAGTCCGATTTGCAAAAATAGCCGACGTCATTTGTGCAATTGATAGACAGGTCAAAAGTTATGGCCGTGAATTGTGAAGTCTATCAGACGAGCGCGCTCGACGTTTGCAAACCCATCGCTCTCAGTACGTGTAGTTTCTTCGACAGCTACGTCTGATGCTTGTAAAAGATCCGCAAGCCTGAGACAGGAACCACGTGCAGAGAGAATAACAACTCCATGCGTATAAGTACCGGGTGTTGTCTAGCTTCGGGATCCTGAAGGGCAAGGCGGTACCAGGCGAGAACCAGGTTTTGGAAACGACCTGGCTTCAGGACATGGCATTGTTGGAAGCCTAGCGTCAAGATAAACAAGTGAAAATGATGCTGGGTGGAATGCTTGGCCGCCGCGCCGACGCGTCGGGTGATATGACGAGGAGGAGATTGTCATACGGTAGACAGATGGAGGAGGAGGAGGAGCAGCAGGAGCAGGGGAAGGGGAGACAGGAGGGAGGGAAGGATGGAGAGGGGAGGGGAGCCAGGGAGGGAGGAGGAGGAAGAAGAAGAGTAGGAGGGGAAGGGTGGCAGGGAAAGGGGGGCGGGAAGCGCGGAGATGGCCAAAGGAGGTGGGAGGAGGGGGAGAACGAGGAAGGGGGTGGACGGCAGGGGCAGGAGGTGGGAGGAGGGCAAGGAGGGAATACGTAGGAGAAGGAGGAGGAGAAGGAGGAGGAGGAGGAGGAGGAGGAGGGGGAAGAGGAGGCGAAGGAGAAGGTTGTTGGATTTGCAACAGTCTGCCGTAACAAAGGCTCCATGCGCGCCGCGGCGCCTGGAGCGGCGGGATCTCGGTCCCCCGAAGATTCGTTCCGGCATGCGCCAAGCGCCAAGACGGTACATGGCGTCTCTTCTGCGCTCACTTGGTTCACCAGACGGTGCATATGGCCCATGCTCGTATCAACGGTCAGGATAGCGATAGGGGGCGGTATTGTTGCGGGGGTGGCCCGCTAGCTCGGTTTTCTTGGGGGGGCCGGCGCAGTTGTCGAGTGACACAGGCTGCGATGGCCACGGCGAACGCCCAGGACACCAGCCACCACGGCGATCACGACCAAGGCCGCCGCCTCCAAGGCCTAGCCTAAGGGTTGAGGCCGAGCAGGCAGTGGGGCTGCCTGTTTACATGCCTCTCCAGAGATTATCCCCCCTCTTTCCCTGGGTGGAGCGCCCGCGCCCCCCAGGTGGGCATTGCCACAGGGGTTTGGCATGTCCTGGCTTGAGCGTCCACCCCCCAAAGTGGGTGCTGCCTCGGAGGTATGTGCACCAATCAGGTGCGGCGGTTCGAATTACAGACTGGAGGGGACCAGCGCCATGATGGTTGTGTTCCTATCTGGTGCCGCGGTGCACTTGGCAGGCTGGAGGGGTCCAGGGGAGTGGTCCCAGTGCAGCTGCTGGTGGCGCCTCGCGGCCCCTGCAGTCTCCCGTCAGCCGTGCTGCTCGCCGGTGCCGCCCCTGCGCGGCCTGTGGCCGTTGCGCGCTGGGAGTCCTGCGGCCGGGCGTTCCTGGCTCTCCCAGTTGTGATGCGTGCATCGGCCAAGTCGGCCGCCCACCCCCCCCTCCTCCCCGCTTTCCGCCCCGCCGCTTGGGTGCTCCCGTTCGGAGGGGGGCTGCCTCGCCGTATCGCGGCTGTTCAGTCGCCGCAGCTCAGCAGCTTGTGGCCCCGCAGCAGTCGCTCAGCAGCTCAGTTGTTGCAGCCCTGCTGCTCAGCCGCCCTGGCTGGCATCATGACAGCATTTTGTTGCACGGCCTTGCGGACTAAGCCTCCGCTGGTCGCTCCGGCGACGCTCGCATCTTGCTCGCGCAGTACCTTCACAGCAGAGACTGTCTCCTACGGTTTCACGTCGGCACACCCAGATGCTCCCGCTCTCGTTGCTGTGGGTCCCTTTGCTGCTCCTCCCAGACTGCCACCACTTGAGCTCCGCCTTCCGCGCCTGCAGCCTCTGGTTCAGCCACTGGGTGTGGCCGCGATGCCGCTCCGCGACCGGGAACGCCTTCGTGCAGTGAGTGCCCTCCCTCTTTCTCCTGGCTCTGCGGCTCCTCTCATGCAGCCAGACAGTTAGTTCGCCCGGTCCCGGTCAATTAGAGCGCGATTGCGGATCGCTTCTGCCGCGTTGCGACGAACAAATCGCTCGACCGCTCTACGTTTATAGTATACCCTAGTCTCGTGTCGAGTGTCTGCGCGGGGCTTTCCTGTCGCAGGATGACATGGTCACAGTGCTCGGCGGTCGCCGTGATGCGTGCTGCACTCAGGATAATGACGCCGTATTTCGTCGTGGAACAGGAGAGACGATCACGCCTACAACAGCCACTTGCGGCCCCGCTGGGAATTGGACCGCGACTGCACCCGCGACCACAATGCCCAGCGCCACGCCCGACACAGCGCTCGTCCTTGCCTTCTGCATGACACGAGCCCGCCCCCAATATATCGCAGCGCCGTTTGTTCCGACGCGCGGCCTTCCGCCTTGGGGAGGGCGCTGCGGCCACCAGGACAAACCCCGCGCCTCGGACGCGAGGTTCGCCGTGGGGGTTGCCGCGGTGGCGGCTTCGTCTACTTGGGCGCGCTCAGAACAACGGCGCGGCGAAATATCCGCGCGGTGCTCGCCCAGCGACTCCGCCTCGTTTCGCCTGGCGCCCCACACCTGCTACGCCCAGAAACCCCGATCGCTGGACCTGGCCGCCAAGCCGCTCGCACCGTCCCTGACCGACCGACGCGCCCGACCTTGGCTTGGCAGGACGCCCAGGCCGCCCGGGCAGGCCCTGGCCTGGCGCTGCGGCCCCGCGGCGCCTGGCTGCCGCTCGCTGGCGGACGCGATGGCGTCCCCGAGGTGCGCATGAAGGGCCCTCCCCAGACACCCCCGATACATGAAAAAGACATGATGGAAGGCGTTTCCCTATGTTCGGCCCTTCGGGGCCTCTGGACCGTCAAAGAACGGTCCGCGGTAGAAAACGGGTCCCAAGGAGCGGGTCGAGACCTCTGGGGGTCGATTCCTGCCAAAAAATCGTGACGTCGGGGGTCTGGGGCGTCTCCGAGGTGAACTTGAGGGGCCCTCTGCCGCCATCCAGCGGCCGTGGCACCCGTCCTGGCGTGTGTTGTCTGCGCCGCCCTGCCTCCCTCCCGCCCCCTGACCCGTTCGGAGGAGCCCTGCTCGTGCACATGGCAACGACAGCAGGGCCCCTCGCCGGCCTCACTGACGGCCGCCAGTCACAGGCCGCCAACAAGAGCTGGAGGAGGAGGAGGAGGAGGAGGAGGAGGAGGAGGAGGAGGAGGAGGAGGAGGAGGAGGAGGAGGAGGAGGAGGAGGGGGAGGAGGAAGGAGGAGGAGGAGGAGGAGGAGGAGGAGGAGGAGGAGGAGGAGGAGGAGGAGGAGGAGGAGGAGGGGGGAGGAAGACGCAGCTGGGAGAGGGCAGGGGGGGCCAAATCTCCGATGCAGAATTTGTTCCATCTGCGGGCTCCAGGGGTGCAGACCCCTTCCACGGGGGTAGTTCTTCGTCGTTTCTCCACGCGTGATGGTCCCGAGGCCGTTCTATGGCCCAACTGAGGACAAAATCCTCGGACTCACAAAATCGATCTGGCTGACCTCGGGGCGAGAGGAGGAGGAGGAGGAGGAGGAGGAGGAGGAAGGGGAGGAGGAGGAGGAGGAGGAGGAGGAGGAGGAGGAGGGAGGAGGAGGAGGGGGAGGGAAGGAGGAGGAGGAGGAGGAGGAGGAGGAGGAGGAGGAGGAGGAGGAGGGGGAGGAGGAGGAGGAGAAGGAGGAGGAGGAGGAGGAGGAGGAGGAGGAGAAGGAGGAGGAGGAGGAGGAGAAGGAGGAGGAGGAGGAGGCCCACCATGCTCGCCGCAGGCACTCCTGGCGCCTCAGCAGTCAGCTCGCCGCTCGCGCGCTCGAGCTCGCCAGTCAGCTGGCCCTGCGGCGGGCAGGCGCGCCTCTTCGAACCCCCCCTCGGAGGCGACGATAAGGGCGAATAGCCCAGGAGCGGGCCTTGCACGCACTCGCCCGGGAGCCTCGCCCAAGGCATGGACCATCGGCGCCTTTGGATACATGTATTGCTTTCCCCTGGGCTATTCGCCCCCATCGTCGCCCCCGATCCCCCATCTCTTGCACTTCTTCCTTGGAGCCGTCTACGTTTTTGACCTCGTCCGGCGTCCGGGGGCTGTTGTCGGGCCCCAGGGCAGAAAAAAAATGATTTGGGGGGAAGAACTGCACCAGATGGACCTCGGGAGGGGCGCGGGGACCGATGTTGAGGGAAGTTGGTTTCATCCCGCCCTCCCGGCCGATAGTTTGGGATCTGAGCCAGTTCAGATCCCCCGGCCGCCTCCAACTTCGTCCCTCTCTCCCTCCCTGTCGCACTTTTGAGTGTTTTTGCCGCTTCGCTCGGCTTCGAGAGCTCGTCGAGTCCGTCCGTCCGCTTCTTCATTTGCTGTACTCCGCTGTTTTCCTTTCCCTCATCCTTCATCCTCCTTTTCTTGCTCGTCGTGGCGGGGCCTAACGGAGTTCGACACGTAGATTTGGCAGTTTGGGATGATATTCGAGCCTCCCTGAACTTCGCACAAGATGTACCGTTTTCAAAAATCAATGTTGATCCCCGCGCCTCTGACAGGGTAGTGGTCAGCACTTTCGGGAATGAGTCCAACGCGGCATGAAACGCCCATGGCATTACAGTGTAAATGCGAACTTTCTTGGCCAAGGCTCTCTTGCACGCCAAGCCACAGATAGTCACAATGCACGACGAGGCGTCAATCTCGTTATATCGAGCCACCGATTGCAAAAGCCATTTCGACCACATTTGGGCCGACGACACAGTCCCAGACGACGTCCATTCAGTCTTGCCGGTGCCCACCCCCATGAGCGGTGCCGGAGCCCCCCCCGAGCGCCAAAGTCGAAAACATCCTTGGTGTGGATACCATCGCGTGGCAAGGTGGGAGATGCTCCCAGCGATTTGGAACAATCTTGCAGCGCCAGTGGGATTGTTGGCACTTGAACAGTGTGTTTCCAAAGGGCACAAACCCAAGAGTCTAGGCGGCGTACCACCCAAGTGGTAGCGTCGACGTTCGAGCAGTGTGGACGCAGCAGCACGCCAGTAGCCGATGCATTCCGTTGTGTTTGCTGTTTCTGCAGGTTGCACCAATCCACGTCATCAACTACACATTGCTTGCCAGGCGTCTTCTTCTCCTCCAGGGCCCCAGACCACGCCAGCCCCACGTTCAACCTCGGCAACTCACTCGCTGGAACACGCGCGGCATCTCATTGTCGGGGCGCCAGCACAAGATGCATCAGCGTCAAGCCTGCACCACGCTATGGCTGTGCGACGTTTGCTTTTCGGGCTGCCCCCCTTTTGCGGATCACGACGGATGCCGCATCTCTGATTTCTCGGTATTCCTATCGCGCTTCTTAAGGGAAGCCGCTGCGGCCATCGCCAAGTGTTTGAAGGCAGCACGCCCTTGGGGGAATTGCTGCCCCGCGCGTTTCGGAAGAGTTTGCCAGGATCGAGATCCGTGCGGTGATTTCGTGCAAGCATGGTGACACTGATCCAACGTGCGCGAGATGTTCGCTCGCTGGTCGAATTATTCATCGCGGGTCAAGGAAAGACTCAATAGAGTTCCCTGACCAGGGGGGACTCCTCCACCAGCGCCAGCGGCGCGGAGACCGACCGAATCGGCACGGGAACTTCGATAGCCGGCAACAGCGACAGCACGCGCGGCGGAGACGATGACCCTGCCCCACTCGCAGAAGGGCGCGTGGAAACCCAGATGCGCTTCTCTGCGAATGCCCCTGCAGCCACGGCCAGGGACCGCATCTTCGCGCCCCCACGGGCCCCACCTCGCTGCGCGCGGAGCCCCAGCTTCGATTTAACAGTCCCGCCGCCGTTTCGCCCGACAGCGGCAAGCGGCCGCGCCATCTTGCAGCCCTCCTCGGCGTCGGCGCCACTGCCAGCTTAGCGAGGGCGAGCCATCGACCAGCCCAGCCGCGCGTCCCCGACAACGAGAGGCATTGCGAATGCCTGCGGGCCGGGCCGGACAGGGGCGACGCGCGAGTCGATGTTTTGGCCGAGCGCAGGCCGAGCGCGCGGAGGCGCGCCAGGGAAGCGGGGGCCAGTCACAGCACGCCCCCACGCATGACCCCATCGCCTCGATGGCTACGCAAGGAGGGTCGGTCAACAAGAATGCCCCGCGCGAGCGGAATAGCGAGGCGGTGCATCTGTTGCGCGAGAATATTCGGCGATGGCGAGGCCGGGCGAGCCACGACTGGACGTCGTCGGTGGCCGCCCGATGGCCATGCCAAAGTCCGAATCCTAGCGCCGAGCAGACTGGGCGGAGCAAGCAGGCTTTTACCGAGCTACCATTCGCAAGATTGTTGCGTCGACAGCGTCGTCCTCAACATTGTCTTCAAGCGTCTCGAGTACGTTTATTTGTTGCCAACTTCTCGGCACGCGGAATGAATTGGATTCCTCGCGACATCCAAGGGATTGCATGTCTTGTCCTGCGCACGTTCCAAGTTCGCAGGCCAGTGCCAGCGCGCGCTCCTCTGGCGCACCGGAGCGCCCCAAGGGAGTCAGCAGTCAAGTTCGGAAATCGATTTAGGGCTTGGCTTTCGACGCCGCTGAGCTTTCGCTTCGCCGCCCTTGGCCCCGTCAGGGCGCGGGAGCGAAAGACGCTCCACTGCGTCTTCTCCGAGCCCCGCAATTACGACGCTTCCGGGATGGCTGTTCGATTTCAAGACAAGGCGCGCCCGGCGCCTGTCGCCGCCATTTCCGCCACGGCATCGGGCTTGACGGCGCTCGTCGCGCTTGCTGGTGGATGGTTCCGTTCCCGTACCACGCCTGGGACGGCGAGCGCTCACTTTTGGCCCGCAATTGCGCGACACTCTCGGCGGCTCGCTAGAATCTGGAAAGCCGTGGGCGCAGCCACGCATCGGCAGAGGCCGGAGGCTGGAGGCGTCGTCCGCCCCGCGGCGCGGCAGTGGAGGCGCGGATTGCGGCGCCGGCAGTCGCTCACCCAGCATCATCAGGCGCTGCGGCGCTCGGGCGTGGACCGCAGCCCGCTGCGCGCAGCGACGCATCTGCCCTCGGGTCGCGCGTCGCCACCTGAGCGACGCACGAAAATGGGATCGTTTTCGCCGACATTCGCGCGCAAGCTGCCCTCGCAAGGTCGCGCGCAAGCATCCTCGTTTCCGACGTGGCGTGCCGCGCTGGCGGCCCGCGCAAGCCGCGGCGCAAGGTCGCCATGCCGTCTCGCGGAAGACCCGTTTCTGTTCCGTGGCTCGCCTGATCTCGAGATGGTTTCGCGCCGCCCTTCTGCGGGCAAGCCATGCTCAGCGGGCGCCAGCTGCACGAACCGATCCTGGACTGGCCAAGCCTGGGCCAGGAATGGGTGCGCGCGCTCTCCCAGGCCAGCCACGGAGGTGCCTGCACCGATCTTGGGGCCAGATTGCGGACGCGGTTGGCGCGGCATGCCTGGTCTCCTGGCACAAGCGCGCGCTTGGCGTTTTTTTGCCCACGCGTCCACGCGGATGCACGGCTTAGTGGTGGTGGATTGTGTCCGGCCAGGATCGGTGCATACCCAAATCTGGGTCTCATCTTTGAAGGTATGTGGAATTGCCGTAGATTGCCGCCCGAATTTCGGCGGGAGTACGTTGCGAAGGGGGCGGCATCATGGAGCATCACATCACGCGCCCTCGCCCCGCCCATCTCCTCCCGGGCTCGCGAAAGCAAAGCGACAGACCTCAGTCGCACCACCGTTGATTCCAGGGGCCCACGCCATTCCGCCGACCCCCAGAAGAAGGGCGAGGAAGGAGCTGCGCAGGTTCTCCTCTCGCGGGTTCGGGGGCCAGGGCATTGCTCGCCACGGGGTTGCCCGCGATATTAGTTAATGGGCCGCCAGGGTCGTTGCCCAGAGAAAATGTTAGTCCGAGGCAGACGGCCAGATCGAGGAAATCGCCGCGAGGCAGGAGATGAGTGGCGCGCCGACGCGGGGCGGCAGTTGCACGGAGCGCCCAGCACGGTCGCCCTCGAATCCAGGGCGAAAGAGTGGCACGCGCACAGGATGAAAGAGCCAGGTTGGCACCTGATCTTTCCGACGCATCGAACTTGGTCCGTGGACAGTTGCATACAGAAGCCAGTGCTTGCATTGAAGAGGTGGCCGGCATTTCTGTCGCCGGCATCTGCGCGCACGGCACCCTCTGTGCCAGGGGAAGCCACGGGACGTTGCGATGGCGGACCTCGAAGTCGGGCGGGGCGTGGGGGGCACGCCCAGTCACGCAGCGATAGCTAGCGCGGGTGGCGCAACGGCAATGGCCGTTGATTGACAGACCATCTGCGCGGGCCCCATGCGAAGAGGGTGCGCCGCTCAGCGCAGCGCTGTTGATGGAGGCGCGATGGGGTCGCGCAGACTGGGCCCAGACTGACAGGGATCATTTGCCAAAGCAAAAGCGCGCGGCTTGCGGCGCCACGAAATCATAGCCAGGCTTCCACCCGAAGGAGCGGGTGAGAAAGGATGCCGAGATTTTTTCCAAGGCGCGCGTGCGCGCGCTCGCGACGAGCAGGCTGGGAGAGGGGGACGCGCGGCAAGCGTGGCGCATGCAGCGCGGGACACGACGAGGACGCCGCGTGAGATCGCGCGCAGCTTGCAAGCGTAGAAAGCGCAGGAGAAGGAGAGCAAGTGCGATGCCAGGTCGAGGAACGCTGGGACGTGGAATGGTCGGCAGCGCGTGGCAGCCGAGCAACGAGGCATCAAGTGTGCCAGCTGCCAGCGAGCGTTGGAGACGGACGCAATCAGCGCGACGCAGATTCAGAATCGCGTGGAAGCGCGGCACTGCCGAGCGCACGCTCGGCAGAGGGCTTGGAAGCAAGGGAAGTCGCGAATGCGCGAAGGGCAGAGGCGGCCGCGCAGTTGGAGCTCGAATGTGCAGCGCGCGGAGATCGGTTCGCGTGGAAGGGAAGATCGGTTTGCGTCGAGGACAGGGGAGCAACAAGCGGGAGAAGGGGTCGGGAGTCGTATGCCAGGACTGCGCCGGCCAATGGTCCGCGCCGAGGTCGTGGAAGGCGTTCCAGCTCGCAGGCCCATGTCAACAGATGTTGCCTCGGGGTTCCCCTCGGGGTTCCGGGAGCGAGCAGCGCAGTCGGAGGGGACACAGCATCGCGCGCCGCCGTGGCACAAGGCCAGGCCCTGATCGTCCTGAAAGTCGTTTCTTGTGGCGCGCTGGTCTACGGTATTCCCTTGGGTGGTCTTGGTCTCTGTCTCTCCTTCTCTGTCGTTGTCTAGTGGTCTGCGGCCCGGGCCGCCACCGTACCTGCGTCCGGGGGGGGCAGAGGAGGGGAGGAAGGAGGACAGAAATGGGGGGATGGAGGGGGCGGGGGAGCTCAGAGAGATCGGAGGACAGGAGGATGAGGGGGGAGAGAGCACGAAGGGGAAGTGAGGAGAGGAGCAGGGGGGACGAGGGCGAGAACGAGGCCTTTGGGAGGTCTCTGGGAGCCTGCTGCGCGCCCGTTTCGGATTATTCGGCGAGGTCTCTTGGGAGCAATAGGAGACTTGCTGGAGTCTCCTGGGTTGCTCCACAAGTTTCTGGGGGGGGGGCTGGGGGCTTCTCGACGCATGTCGAAGGTATTCGGGGCCATCTTGTGGCGAAGGGTTCCCAGGGCCTCTTCAAGTTTCCCCATCTTGGGTTTATGTTGGAGATACATTGGGCCATCTTGGGGGTATCTGGGGTCATTGGGGAACCCTTTTTGGTCGTCTTGGGGAGCCGTCAAGGTCAGGTAAAGTGAGCCTGTTGGGCAGCGATTGGCTTTCGGAAACCCGAAAAAGGCGAGAAGTGGGAAGTCCTGCGCTTTCGGGAACCCGAAAAAAAAGGTTTGCAAGCCTCAGGGAAGTCATTGAGCCGTGCCTATGGGCGCCCTGTTGGCGGTCCTCTTGCGGCTCTGTCGGGCCGCGGTGTGGGTCTCGAGGCCCGAATAAAGGGCATATTTGATTGTCGCGGGTGACGTGGTGGGCTTTTGGAGCCGCTCTTGAGCCTGCGCGGCGTACATCTCAAGCGTTGTGGGGACGTCCGGGGGTGGATTTGGAGGTTGTGATGGCCCCACAGGTGCGTCGGGCAGTTCGTGGGGGGGCCGCGCCCCCCCTCGTAGGGGGCCCGCCCCCCCCCCCCTCCCCTCCCCTTGGACAACCAAACGTCTCACACGTCTTTGAACCCCCTGGCGAGCGAGGATCGGCGGAGTTCGATGCGCGTCAAGCGACCTAGAATGTCTCGCACTCGCTGGGAGCTGCACACCAATCAGTCCCACGCACGATCACATCCTAGGGCTCAAGTGCTTAGTTGCAGCACACGGGGTACTCCGTGGATGGCGAAGCCCCTTTCTGTCATTGTTCAAGACGCTGACGCCATTCCGCTGACTCCCCGAAGAGGAGATTTGCGGCTTCCGAAGTCGTGCGTGATGCTTGACTTATCCCGACGTAACGCCCGCGTGAAATTATTGCTGGTTCGTTCTCGTCTTCTTCTGCGTCTGCTGGGGGGGGGGCTTCTTGGGGCCCTGTAGGGGCCTAGGGGATGTCCTCTTGGAGCATTTTCACAGCTCCTGGGGGCTTTGGAGGGCCCCTCAAAACCCTGAGCTCAAACCTGGTGTCCCTCTCCTCTGTGAGCGCCTTCCACTCCCGCCCGCGCCTGCCGACCTCCCGCCCGCGGCGCAGCCCTCGTGCTGCTTCCTCCGGCCTCCGCCTCCCCCCTCCGCCGGCCTCCGCCGAAGGCGAGATGCCAACCCCTCGATTCAGAAAGTCCACAGTCGGGCTGGAAGGGATGGGGCTGGCAAGCATGACCACCAATGTCACCGCGTGTGCCGCAGGTGCTTTTCACGCAGTCGTGCCCTGTCTCTTCCCAGTCCCTTCCTCCCAAGCCATCAATTGTCTGTCCCATCGATCCTTCCTGGAGGGGGGGGGGCAGGGGGCGGGTCTTGGGCTCTGGGGCAGAAGGGGAGGAGGAGGAGGACGGAGGAGGAAGAGTAGAGGAAGAGGAGGAGGAGGAGGAGGAGGAGGAGGAGGAGGAGGAGGAGGAGAAGGAGGACGAGCAGTAGGAGGCGAGATCCTGCCTGGAGCGCACCCCTCCGCAGCCAAGGCCCGCTCCGCTCCTGGGGCCGGCGCGGCCGCCCTGCGCGGCGCGCGGCCGCCCGGCGGCTCGCCCAGGACGCCGCGCGCCAGTGTGGCCTCGCCTCCGTGAGTTTGGCTGCGCAGGCGGGTGCGAAGTTCGACTAGACGCAGGAGTGACCTGTCGCCAGAGTGACCTCCGGTGCGGGCCCTATGGGGTCCCCCGATCGCCGAGCGCGATGCGATAGTGGCGTCTTGCGCGCTCGTGTTTGACCCCCCCGCGGCCCCCAGAAGCCGCGCACCAAAGGTCACGCTTGCCCAGGGTCACTCTTACGTGTAGCCGATAAGTCCACATACGGCGTAAGTCCATACAGAGAGCTCGGTCTCCGTCTGGGATTACTCCGTCTGGATTGAGCCTCTCCTGAGAGGATGCTAGGTCCATACGGAGTAGGTCCATACGGAGTGCTCGGTGTCCATCTTGGTTTACCTTGTCTGGACTCAGCCTCTCCTGAGTAGACGGCTCGGGCAAACCGGTCCTGTGGAATGGGTCGAGACCTCCGGGGGTCGACGTTATCGAAAAAATATGACGTCGGGGGTCTGGGTTTGGTGGACGCATCTCTCAATTTTTCCGCCACCTCGAGCGGCGTGCGCTCTGGGCGGGAGCACAGCCGAGCCGCAGGAGGGCTTGGCATTGACAGTGTAGCTCCGCACGCGAGCCACAGGCTCTAGCGAGCTAGACACATCCAGGACAGCGAGGCATTGAAAGTGCATCTCAGCATCAACAGAGTGGCCAGAGAGCCCCTGCGACATTGGCATGAGCGTTTCTCCACCCCGAGCCACATGCTCTAGCGAGCTAGAAATATTCACGACAGCGAGGCATTGAAAGTGTATCTCAGCATCAACAGAGTGGCCAGAGAGCCCCTGCGACATTGGCATGAGCGTTTCGCCACCCCGAGCCACATGCTCTAGCGAGCTAGAAATATTCACGACAGCGAGGCATTGAAAGTGTATCTCAGCATCAACAGAGTGGCCAGAGAGCCCCTGCGACATTGGCATGAGCGTTTCGCCACCCCGGCGGGCGTGACCAAATGTCCCCCTCACTCTGCGTTTCCGTTTGCGGTGATTTTCTCCCTGAGCTGTTACTGGCTGAAAGGATTGAACCAGTCTTTCGTGGACATCCGATCCGATCCCCGTCTCGGTGTTCTTGAATCGCCTTCAGGATACATGGGGGGGAATCCTGTGACTTGTTGTGGCGAGCGCACACTGCCTGGCGCGGAGCCGCGGTCCCTCATTCCGGGAGGGCAGGGACCATGCTACCGTTGGCCCCAATCGCTCCTCCCCTCCTCGTTCGCCCCGCTTGCCAGGGCCCCGGAGACAGCATTCTCAATGCAAGAGCGCCGATCCATCGTCTTCTCCACCTCACTACGGTGGAAGACAGATTACTTTACGACGTTGGAGGGCAGATCCCTCTGGCGACGTACCCAACCCATTTACAATAAGCGGCCACACGAATGTGCCCATGCTATATTGATGATGGTATGACAAGGAAGGGACTACGCGTTGCACGACTCATGGGGCAGATTTGAGTGAGGCGGCTGCACCTGAGGATTTGAAATGTAAAGTAGAGTGCGGACATACAACAATGACCAAGAGGAGGAATGCGGCGGAAGAGGATGTATAGAAAGGAATGAGAGAAGAGAGTAAGAGGGGCGAGGAGGTCGAAGAAGATAGGACGATAGCAGGGGGTGAGGAGTAAAAGGGAAGGGGGAGAAATTAGGGTAGAAAAAGTTGGACAGACGGAAGATCGGCAGACGGAGAGCAGAGGGAGTGGAGGGAGTGGCCCACGAAAGTGGCGCCAGTTGCTCAGTGGGCAGCGCCCAGGGCAATTTCCCACTTGAAACGTAGGACGCCCCTCCGCTGGACCTCCCAGGGCCCACGAAAGTGGCGACAGTTGCGCAGCGGGCAGCGCCCAGGGAGGCGAGGTCCCACTTGGATCCCCGTAGAGAATGATTCCGCTGCACCTTCCAGGGGCACCCGAAAGCGGCGACGGTTGCGCAATTGGCAGCGCCTAGTGATGCGAGGATCCACTGGGACCTGCTGCACGATAAGCAGCATGACCTGTGCCGCCCGCTTGTCAGGCGGCCTATTCTGCAGGAGTTGATTTCGAAGCGTTGCGTTGCCCTCCTGCCCTCCCCTCACTGCAGCTCGTGGTCTGCCGCCCGGGACCGCACGCACCCCGTCTGATCTAAGTTTTACCCTCGTGGTACATCGCAGTTGAATGAGGTGAGCCAGGATAAGATTTAGCTCAGCAATCGAATCCTTGGATGTTGGTTTGCTATTAGCCTGGAGCCCGGAGAGCCCATGCTGCCTGAGTGTGGTGGGTCTTCGAGAACCATCATATTTCAAAGTTGCGGAAACGGTGCCGTGATTGATCTGATTGAGAAGCACCCCTTTGCGATTGAAATTGTATGCGATTGCTGCCGATGGCGACTGCCATTGCGGAAACAAATGTGATGATTGATTGGCAGTGTAGAGGCTCATGGTTTGGAGAAGCCGGCTCGACAGTCCTCGGGCTGAGGGTTGTGCAGTAGGCTTGGTTTGCCCCCGCCAAGCCTCGAGGGCAAGACCCAGCCTCGGGCATCCGTCGCACGACTCCCGCCATGTCCTGTCCCCCCTCGGCTCGCCCATGTCCTTGCGTCCTTGCTTGCCTCGCAAGCTCGCAGGGCGCGGGCGGCCGAACTGCTCTGAATTCATCCTTCCTTGCTACGCGAGCTAGAGGGTTACGCCCCTATGCGACAGTATTTTTTCGAGGGGGACCTCTCCCTCTTTTTGAAATTCACGCGCCAGCTCGCATGGCTTCGTGACTCATCCTGGACGTCGATATGTGTGTGTGCGATTTCGTGTGAGCTGTGGGGTCTTTCTCGAGCGCTCTCACATGGTTTCTTGTATCGTGGTGCGTCCATGTGCGCCTGGCCTCGCCAGCCTGCAGACAGCTCGGCTGTGGCACAAGATGGCGAAAGAAAACGAAACAACAACAAAAACGATAGGTCGTGTTCAGGAAACCTGAAACAGAGCCATCGTCCAGTCACCCTGTCTCTTCCTCCCTGCCGCCGCCGTTTCTTCACCATTTTATGAAGTGCGATGGCTTTACATTTGTCGCCCATCCAGGCCGCGTTCGCAAGCGGCATCCGCGCGAACTGCGCACGCGTGAGCCGGTCTCCCTTGCACTCGTTTCTTCTTCCTATTGTTCTTCCTTTCCCTCCCTCCGGTGGTGTAATTGCCAGCTTATCTTGCCGCGGACCAAGTCGTGCACCGACTCCTTGACAGCAGAGTTGCTGAATTTTGAGGCAAGCGTTCCGGGTTGCGACCGTTCACATGACCATCGTGATGGTCCGATCCCCGTGCGATTCAATTTCTCCGACGAGCCGTGCGCGTGTCTCTTGTCGCTTGCACTCTACACACACAGCTATGTGATTGACGAATTCCCGCCCCTGTTCACCCGCCTGTCTCACGCATCATCTGTCCTGCGCCACTTGCGGACGCAGTTTTAACAGATCGAGGCGGCCTCATTATGTTGGCCGAGATGTCCGCCCTCCGGTTCTCCGAAGTGCGGCGACCATGATCCGTTGAACGATACATGATGTCGACCACGAATGTTCTTTGGGCGCCTAAATCTGAAAAGCGCCGCTTTCGGGACCCAATCTGGCTTGCACGTCCTGCACGTGTTTGCAGAACCTGGGCGCGTAGTTTTACAATTTCGGTTTTCGGGCCCCACTCAATTATGCTTATAATCACGGCGATCGCGCCATCATACGAGATTCGATGTATGACGACCATCATGTGTGGCAAGTTGGGTCAAGGGTATTCGTGGCATTCTTCAGGCATGCCTGATCCGTACCAGTGCTGGGTGGCTCAGAGGGGAGCGGGGGGAGTAAAACGACGCGAAGATCGGGACAAAATCGGATCGGGATGACTCGAAATCTCTGAGAATCGGCGGGTTTGGAGGCCGTATTGGGCGCCGCGGCCGCTCTCAGAGCGTTCCGGAACGCTCTGAGAGCGCTCCGGAACGCTCTGGAGCGATTTATCCCGATCCTAGCCCTGTTTTAGGGAGGGGCACCGGATGGGAGCGGAGGGGGAGGAGGAGAGGCAGCGCGGTGGCCCCACTCCTGCCAGGAGCCCAGGGTGGCCCAGCGGCGGCACCTCGTCCAGCGCAGCGGGGGCAGGGCGGAGAGCTTCGCGGGTGGCCTCTGCAGGCCTGGCCCGTCATGATTGTACTCCTTAGGCGATGCTTAAGAAAACCTAAGTTTTCGCCCAGAGTCTCGATTATTCTTAGCTTTCCAATGTAAATCCCAAGATTTTGCTAGAAGTTCTGGGTTTTATTCAGGTTCTGAGAATATGAATTTCTTAACCGCCATGAGTGTACTCTTGTGCCCCCACCCCTGTTCTCCCGCTCCCCTGTTCCCCCACTCCCACCCCTGTGTTCCCATTCCCCTAGTCTTGTATCTTCGTTCCCCCGCCCCTGGTCTCCCCCTCCCCCGCTCTGCCGCCCACCATATCCTCCCCCCACCGCCCCTTTCGCTCTTCTCCGCCCCCCACCTCGTCCATCCTCCCCTGGCGCTGCCCGTTCACCCTCCCTCCTTCCGCAGCCACTTTGGCTCGAGCGGTCGGCGTCCGAGAGAATGCCCAGGTCTGCTTTGGTGGGAGGGCTTATCCATCGCGCGCTTCAGAAGGCAGGCGTCGGCAACATTGCTATGCGCGTGGTCTGGCAAGTAAGATAGTATGTCAAGTTTGAGCGCTACATGTTTAAACTAATGCGTTATCCTTGCTGCAGCAATTACGATGCGGTCATGGTTGCGTGCGCGTGCGCCGACATAGTTCTCGTACTGGCGCGTTGACGATGGCATTGAATTGTGTTGGCGCAATGTTACGGAGCACACCGCTTCGCAACGTGTCTTTTTGTTGCAGCAGTGCAGTTGATATGATGAATGACAAGTGACTGCTCTGAGCGGAGTCCTTGTTATGGCGAGGATGTCTAGCATTGTAAAGGTTTGTTGGGTTACTATATATATATATGTGTGTAGAAGTACATACGCCCGCAGGCTGCCAACAGGTTCTAGACTAGGACGACCTCATGTCATCGGGTGCTCGTCGAGGAAAGGCGTTGACACGTTTGCCCTAGAGCCGTATCACAGAGCCCAAAGAATGAGTGTTGTCTTCGCACTCCCTCCTCTGTTCCTCCCTCTCCGATGCTGCTCCTTGCGACAAGTCGATCCAGAAGCTTATAAAGAAACTCCCCTCTCGACCTCTGCGCCGGGCCCTGGGCTGAACTCGCAATCCCTTGTGCTGAGACTCAGCGCCTGCGAACGCTGCAATCGCCAGGAGTTTAGTCATAAACAGAAGACAACAGGAGCAGCTCGGATTAGACCCTATGTGGCTTGCCCCAGTCTTCAGCTTCCACGGATGAGGACAACCTGCCAGATCTGCAATTTCAAAGTTGGCTTGGCCACCCAGGAAGGGGCAGAAGCAGCAGCGGCAACAGCAGCAGCGGCAGTAGCAGAACCCGTACTGGAGGCAGAGCCACGTAGAAGATCTTAAAAACCCGGGGACACGTTGGCGTGAACACAGGGCGGCGGCGATGCACCTTCGAGGCCGCACCAACATGGCAGTGGCGAGCAGGGGCGTTGAGATGGCTTCGCGTCAATGACACTGTCCCGCTGGCAGCTGGCTTCGAAGTGCACCAGAGTTGGCCCTGGGCCCTCGGCCGTCCGACGAGAGAGACGACCTTGCCAAGGTGGGCGCGCACGATGACAACGCAGCGCGGGACCGCGAGATCATGGCTCTCGTCAGGGAGATTATGAATCGGCACCGCGCCAACAGGGACCCGCTGGACAAGATTTGGAATCTCTCTGCAGTCGGCCTGGCCCAACCAGTCTCCAAGAGGGTGCAGACCCGCCTGTTGGATGACCTCGGTATCGCGCAGCACGGCCCAAATGCGCGGGCCCAAAAAGCGACGTGCTCACGGGCAGAGGGAACCATGCAGAAGTCCAGCGTTGGCGGAGGCGAGCAAGCACGGCTTTCCTCATCACTCACGGGAAGCCCCTCAAGATCAACGCCCAGCTTGTGAACTTGCTTGTCGACGTACATGGACACTTGAAGTCTTGGTCGGCGCAGCTTGGAGACATACTCCGAGGAAAGGGCAGCACACCCAGACCGCCCGGTTGGGAATAGGCGACATATTATTAGACGTTCTCGGCAAGATGACAGGGATCAGCAAAGCGGTGGCGCGGTGTGGCCGGTCAGGCCTCTTGCTGAAAATCAGAGAGGAGGGTGACGAGGGGACGTCTTCGCGCTTGCTGGTCTTCAGGGCCAGAGTAGTTTGATCAGTACACCTCGCCGCTCTGTCCGCATTGCACGGAGAGCCCCTCGCCAATACCCAGCGTGGCCAGATCTATAGCATGTGTTCCAGGGTGATAGGTTTTTGCGAGATGAACAGGCGAGCACGTGATGAGGGAACCGTGCAGCAGATGGTCTTAACATCCATGCCTTGTAACGATCAAAAACGCATGTTCTGCATCGCGGTTGATGACGCATCATATCTTCTAACGTTGCTTTTCTAGTCATACTGGGCCAGGGCCCGTATGGATTCGACTACTGGAAGCGCTCGGACGGACGTTCTTGTGCGGTCTAGTTTCGATGCGCAGATGCTGCTTTCCAAGTATAAGCGGAGGCACGACTCTAGTCGCGGACAATTAGTCCCTGTGGCCAGCCGCAGATCATAGTCATCAGAATCTTGAGCTTGAGATTTCGCGAAGTTGGGCGGACAGACAGGATGGTAGCAAGAGCATGCTCAAGATCTAGCTGTGGCTTTATTGGCCATGGTATGCTGCATGAGCTTGCCTATCGCAGGTCGGTTCATGAGGTCTTCCTGGTTACCTGGCGACTTTTCGATTCGCCCCGCAGTTGCCGCATCGTTGACCCCAGCAGGGGTGGCCTCCCTCCGTATTCAACAAAAAATGCATTATCCGTTCCCAGGAAAGAGCCAGGTGCAGTTGGATTCGATGTTGCCACATGAAACATAGTTCTGCCAAACTGAATTGCGCCGCAAACATCATTAAGTGCGGTTTGATCCTCCATTTCCGCCGCACTTTCCCAGGCAAAACATTCCAAAGTTGGGAACTCTGGACGGTACACGGGTCATTCACTCAAGGCATGACAGTAGTGATGATGGGTGGCAGACCTCGCAGTTGATCATGAGTTGGTATCGAAGACGCTTACGGCGAATCACCGCCGCCCCCCGCCTTCTATGGAAGCGCCTATGTGGCCGAACGTTGAGGCCAGAGCTTGGCCAAGCTATCGGACCATGTGTTCCCCGAATCGGTTTGGAAAGCATTCGGGGAACACGTGGGCATCTTGAAGGTCATCTTGGCCGCCTGGAGGCCATTTTGATCCTTTCGGGCCTTCTTGGAGGACGTCTTGGAGGCCTCTTCGGCCGTCTTGGGGGCCTCTTGGGGCCGTCTTGGGCCTCTTGGGCGATCTTTGTGGGCACTTGGGCCATCTCGGGCCGTCGGAAACAAAGCAAATGCCACAATCCTTGAAAAACTCATGGGGAAATCGATGAGTTTGGCCTGTTCAGGCCTTCCTGGAGGCCCTCTTGGAGGCCTCTTGGGCCGTCTTGGGCCATCTTAGTGCCATCTTCGGCCGTCTTGGTGGGCCCCCGGCCCGTCCGACCCGTCGGAAGCCGTTTGGGGGGGCCTCTCTGAGCCGACTCGGGGCCTTCTTGAAATGCTCCAGGGCCGTCTTGGAGGCCATCTTGGGCGTCTTAAAGCCTCCTGGGCCATCTTGGGGGCCTCTTGGGGCCGTCTTGGGGGCCTCTTGGGCCGTTCTGGGGCCATCTTGGAGGCCTCTTAGGCGATCTTTGGGGGCTCTTGGGCCGTATCGGGCCGTCGGAAGGCCGAAACGAAGCAAATGTCAAAACCCTTCGAAATCCAATGGAAATCCGTGTTTTTTTGCCTTTTCTGGCCTTCCTGGAGGCCCTCTTGGAGGCCTCTTGGACCGTCTTGGGCCAGCTTCGAGCCAACTTCGGCCATCCTAGTGGGCTCCTGGCCCGTCTGACGCCGTCGGAAGCCGTTTGGGGGACCTTTTTCTGGGCCGATTTGGGACCCTCTTGGGGTGCTCCAGGGCCGTCTTTGAGGTCATCTTGGGCGTCTTGGAGGCCTCTTGGGTCGTCCTTGTGCCCTCTTGGGGCCGTCTTGGGGGTCTCTTGGGCAGTCCTGAGGCCATCTTGGAGGCCTCTTGGGCGCTGTGGGGGCGATCTTGGGGGCCTCTTGGGCCGCCGCCTTGGGTCGTCGGAAAGCCGAGAAGAAGCGAATGCCGAAATCCTTCACAAACCTAAGGGAAATTCGTGATTTGGGCCTCTTCGGGCCCTCCTGGAGAACCTCCTGGAGGCCTCTTGGGCCGTCTTGTAGGCCTCTGGGGGGCCTCTTGGGCCGTCTTGGACTCTCTTGGGCCGTCTTGGAGGCCGTCTTGGACCATCTTGGGCGGACTTGGAGGTCATCTTGGACCATCTTGGAGGCCATCTTGGGCCAGCGTGGCCATCTTGGGGGTCATCTTGGGCCATCTTGAGCGAACAATTGGGGAATTGTGCTCCTTGAGGTCCTTTCCGGGTGGCCGGCGGGACGGGCCAAAGCCCCAGGGGGGGTCCTTTTGGAAAAAGAGCCAAAACCAAAACCGAAGGGTCCAGCACGCAAGGCACCCCTGCGATGAATCGACAGGGGGCGGCGGATCGAAGACGCCTACGGCGAATCACCGCCGCCCCGCGCTCCTTTGGAAGCGCCTCTGTGGCCGACAGCTGGGCCAGAGCTTAGCCAAGCTATCGGACCATGTGTTCCCCGAGTTGGTTTTGAAAGCCTTCGGGGAACACGTGGGAGAGGATAGAGCCGACAGTTGGGCTAGACCTTGGCTTAGATATCGGACCATATGTTCCCCGAGTCGGTTTGGAAAGGCTTCGGGGAACGCGTGGGGGAGCAAGAAGAGGAGGAGGGGGAGGACGAGGAAAAAGGATGGGGAGAGGAGGAGGATGAGGAGCAGGAAGCCTCTTGGGCGCCTCTTAGGGCACTCTTGGGTAGTATGGGCAAGCGTGGCCTTGCTCATTGGAAGTGTTCCGTGAGCAATCTGTCCGCAGACGAGGTATATTGGACCGTTTTGGGCCATCTTGGAGGTTGTCTTGGACCATTTTGGGCGGACTTGGAGGCCA